GGATGCAGCTACCCTACAAAAATTATAGCAAGACAATCGCCCAAGCGGCTGCTAAGATATGAGCCTCGCAAAATCACTACTTTTGCAAAACAGCTTGAACGCCCTTGACTTTTCACGTGGCACGTGCCACGACGGTCACTGAGATGTATCAAAAGTAGTCAATAACGGGGAAGAAGGGATGGGGCTACCCAGCAACAAAGACCGTGCAGGCCAATCGGTCCAGCGGTTGCTGAGCCTTTCAAAAGCGGGCCGGGCCGCTCATACTGAGATTTTTCCGTTATATTGAAAAGACTTCGCTTCGCTCGCTGCGCTCGCTCGCTCGCATCAGCGCTTTTTTGTGTGTCAAGACTGCAGTCGAATGAGTCTGACATACATCCTTTTTAGAAACGAGCACGTGTTATGTTGACCAAATGTGACCTCGAATGATCTTTGCATTCCCTTGACACGTGATGGGCCTAAAATGAGGTAGTAACCACTTATCAGGAGTCCGTCATCTATTTTGCTCTCAAGTACATCTAGAGCATCAGGATAGCAAAACGACTGAGTTATAATGGCCCACTTCAACTCGTGAAATAGGAGCTAGCAAGGATACCTACTCGTGCATGACTTTGACCTTCAGGAAGCTGTCAATCGTTAAATGAGCCCCAGTTAGGGGTCTAACATGCTTTACAATATCTCAAAACATTTGAAATTCGGTGTACATACGTGTATAACATATACGAAAAAGTGCAAACTGTGAGGTCAATTTTGAGAATGAGCATGGCATTTGCCTAAATAGCTTTGATAACGGTATCAGATTCCTCAGACAATCTTTTTTAGTTTCAACCAGTTTTGGCCGATTTTATGCATCTTCAAGCCATCCTCTGGATCACATAGCTTGAGATCACTAACCATGTTCAGGTTTTGCCCTTGACCTTGACCTCTAATCTGGAAATTGAGTTGAGGTCAAAGTTTTAGATGCTTTAGAGTCGCCTTGTAGAGATCTTTCGTTTTGTACCGCTTTTGCTTCCGTAGCTTCTTTATTTACGGAGTATGGGGGGATGGGGCGAAAAATGCCCCCGGGCCGCGGTGGTTGAAAGTACCCGCCTCCCCCGGACCCAGCTTATCTACAACAATGAGCAACTACCTACGGCATGGGCAATTCATTGCCCGCTTATTTCATGAATAATTATATGTATATAGGCATAGTTATAGGCAATTGGCATTGATAAATGCCTCATATTGGCCTTGATAAGGCGCATTAGCAAGCCGCAAAGTGTCGCTGATCTGGAATATACCGGTTCTGGTTTATTTCAGCACAGTGCACAGTGGGGATTTTTCCGATCTAGCACGTATTTATTCGTAGAGGGCAAACCATAGGTAGAATTGTAGCCAGATTGTGCACAGATGTTGGCTGGTGTGTCCTGGTGAGAATTTTACCTGTAAATGTGCATAATCAACATAGTATAGGGGGTTCAATTGGACCCCCCGCTCAGCCGTTTGGCCCCTGATCAAGCTAGAGCTTCGCGGAAAAGTCAAGCGTGCTGCCTATGACGAAATTAGGCCGAATATATCCAATTTCAAAGTCCAAGGTCATAAGCTGACTTTCCAAGTCAGTTTAATGACCCAACTAAAGTTGGGAAATCGAGACCTCTTGAAACTTCGCAAAGTTAGGGTGTTGCGGGGTATTTTGGGGTGCTGATCACGAATTTCATGTTAGTTTTGATCACAGACGATGTCTTTATGCATTTAGGCCAGGTCGGGTCAGGTCAGGTTAGATCAATTAGTAGGCGTCCTGCCGGCCATCCATAGAAGTGTCACCTACTACTGATAGCTTCGTAACATGGAACGAAGGCACTAGAACTACTTCGTAAATATCCAAATGGCTGCTAAAATCGAAATCAGCACCAAAAACTACCCTAGAAACAAGTAAAACTCGAAAAAGTGAACCAAGGTCATCAAAAGGTCAATGACCTTGACTTGACCTTCACGTGACCTTGACACCCACCATTATGCATGGCACCAACATCATTTCACATATTTGAACGTTTAAAACCACAAAAAGACTGGAAATCGCGGATAATGTGAGCTGGCATACGCCGAATCGCGATTCCGGCCAAACATGGTCTCGAGAAATATGCCACAGGTCAAAGTTCAGTTGGGTCAGAGTCATGAAATTTTTAGGTTAGATGTAAAATTGATGATCTCGAGGGTACCGAAAGTTTCGGCGCGATCGGCCACTTTTTGCGCGAGTAATTTGCGGAAAACCATGGGGTTTTATCCGACCCCTTCCCCCTCCCCCTCCCCACAAGTGCGATGGTTAATAAGGTTACGGTATGTATAATTTACGCTTGTCATCCTATTCCTAATGAATGTGTCTCAGAAAATATGCATCATATAAATCACGAAGTAAAATTATTTGCCTATGTCCGGAACATACCTATATCGTGCTGTTTGCCCTAGCGCTCCTCGAGTGGGGTGTTAAGATACTCTAATGTGAATATTCCGTGTTCAGGCAAGTTTCGGCAGCCAAACTAGGCGTTGTCTTGTGCAGAAGAAAGTGGCGAATTCGATTGGATATATTTCGGAGTGGAAAAGTGTGGAAAACATTGTTGATTTCCTACATTTATTTAGAATACCATTCCTTCAATATGGTGTCTGTAAGGGTTTTTTGTAAAGGGCATTTTTGTGACCTTAGTAAGGTTGTGGCATACTTTCCGTTTGCCATTCCATTCCTAATAAAGGTGCCTTTCAGACGATATGCAACTTTAAGACCTCGCAAGATTAAAACCAACAGGACAGGACAATGAAATTGAGCTATACTTTCGGGCCTTGCTGAGCCCATTGAGTAATCACGCATGAGTGTGAACTTTGGGCGCATTTTTCCTAGTTTTGCTGTGGACATACAGATAAAACAATGCCATATATTAAAATTCAGACATTTCTTAGCCCTACTGACACAAAAAAATAAACCAAAATCCAAAAAATATTTTTTGAATTAATAGGCGCTAGATCGGAAAAATCCCCACTGTGCAGTGGTGTCTTGCTGAAAACGGTGTACCATTGGCCGACAAAAAACAGCCACTGAAGAGTAAACACACTCTGGACGGGGTGGCAGGCGCCGCCACCAACAACCGGCCCGCCGCGCCGCGCCGGTGGCCCATAAACATTCAGCGTGACTTCTCATCTTTCATATGAAACATCTATGATGTTTCTTGGAATGTACCCGATATCGGGGCCAAAAGGGAGACATCAGGTAGAATATACCATTACCTACCTACAATTGCCTGCCTTTGCCAGACGAGCTTTAATTAAAAAATTGTAATCAATGGCATTGTGCGCTGATAATCGCGTTAAATGAATTGATTTGAGGACGTGTTTATAGGCACCGCCCATAGCATTGCGAAGTGAACAGCATGGTCCATTAGTTTATTATGTTGCAGCTCATTTTGGAGGATCATAATTGATATAGTGAAAATTAAGCAGTGTACCTAACACGCCCCACTGGGGGGGCTATTCATAGCCCCCTCCTAACTCCGAAACTACTGGGCCGATCGTCAAAAATAGCCCCAGAAAAACTGTTAAACGAAACCTAATTTCATTAACCTCAAGGTCACCGATGACGTCACAGGTCAGGTCAAAGTATAAATTATCGATATTTGGCTTGTTGCCTTTTTGGGCTCTGGCTGCCGTCTTACAAGTCAGATCAGGCTGATTTTTGGTTTACACACTCGAGAACAGATGCTTTAGATGAGGGTACCAAACTTGTACTTTGATTTTCAGGTCAGGGTCAGGTCATCATGCATAGGTCACGGAAATCTTTTGTCATAAGTCGGTCACGTGACACATGCTTTATGGTCCATTTAGGCCATAGATTTCGAATTCGGTGTCGCTTGTGTCATTTGAGGCCATTTTCATCTGAATATAGCTGAGGTCAGGTCACTTTCAGGTCAAAAAAGGTCAAATTTCAAAATTGAATTTTTCATAAAAAAAACATATCTATAGGATGCAGTTTGAGCTCAGGAACACGACGGTGCTATTTATATTGGTGAACGATGTCAAAAACATACTTAAAAAATGATATGAAAATTTATAATTGTGATTTTTTTGCAATAATGCGTATAACTTGGCCATTTTTGAAGATATTTAGCTAAAACTTGCTAGAGTAAGTCAAAACCATGTGTTCTATCGCATATATTCCGGGTTTTTTTTCGAAATGTCAAAAACGTTTTGAAAAAAAAAATAAAAATACAATTTTTATATTTTATTATATTTTTTTTTTCAAAATATCCAAAATTTTGAAAATTCGAGATATCAGTTTGATAGCGCAGTCTATTCTGAGTCCTCTCATGCAAGTAAATTGGTTCTAGCTTAAACACTGAGCTCTTGGGAGCGATTGCCGTGGTTCAATGTTTTGCGTCGAAATCGGCTGAACATCCCCCTGTGCCGGCGAGGGTTAAACGAAGATTGAAACAAAAGCCAATCTATGCACACTATCTTTCAAAAACAACTGCGATAATAGACAAAAGAAAAAATAGTTACACGTCTCGCAACTACCTCTTTTCTGTTTATAGGGCCATATAAAAATCCAAAAGTGGATTTCCAGAGGTTTGGTCCTGGATACTGACTGGAGCTGTCCCTGAAACCCATTATCATGCGACTGCTAAGGAATGGCCAAGTGAAAACTGAATGCGGACTCAAAGTGTTGCAGAATCATGGCTCCGACCATAACCGACACTGTCATTGTGCATTGTGAAAATAGTTTCAGCAGCTCGAATATTTAAATACCTTCTTTCTGATGATTTCTATCGTGCTGTTCTTTTTATAAACAAGTCATGCTCCACGATAAAACGGCATTAGGATTCTCGGGTGAGTATTAGTGAAGTGTATTCTGGGAATTTCTTTGTTTATATAAAATACTCCACAAAATAGATCGCGGACTACGCTGTTTTAAAGTTTCTGGTCTGGATTGGATCACATAGACGAGGCGCAGTTGGGGTCGTACCGTACGACCGTTTAGTGACGGCGGGCGGTCAGTGCCGGCCCGGACGCCGGAAGGGTAACAATGTCACAGCTCGAGCGGCCCAGCGAGTTTGCCAATGAGCCAAACGCTCTCTGGCAAATGCGCCTAATCGGACCGCGCTTGTCTCCGCTGGAGGGCTACCGGCTTATTGCGACCCAATATGATAAGGTGAGCTCGAAACTAAAGGTGACCTGAAGCTACATGGGATAGGAGCATCGTGCATACGCGTTGACAAGACCGCTCCGGGGTGCAATTACAGCACTTTGTGCAGAACTTTATGACCAGGTGTGCTACCTCCTATCTTATTTAACCGACCATCCGTAACTTTCATATTCCGTGATGTCTGTGGCTTCGCGATGTCTTCATTAGTTTACAGGTAAGGAAAAGATTTGTCGAAATGTTGCAATCGGGAAAATGTGACATTCGTTTACTTTTGGAGACTTAAACCACCTTGAAATAGCTTATTTCTTTCTTTAATAATCCGTGCTTCCTTTTTAGTGTTTTTGTCGCTAAGAGGTTCAGGACTCGAGCTAGAAAGGGAGGGGCGTGAAGACGTCTCCCCGCTTCAATGTGATAATTTGGCCACCTGTATGAGTTTAAAATGAAGTCCTATTGAGGGCACCCCCTCAGCCATGGGACGCCTCCTTCACCAAGTGCACCTAACCTCAAAACAGGGCTCCTCTAAGGAATTTCCACTGGGGGGGGGGGCAGAGGCTCAGAAGCCAAACCTAAGGTACCCCCAAATCCGATTTTCTCATCGGATTTAGGCCACTTATTTTTCGTCACAGCCCTGATGCCATGATTTTTATTTTTATTTTGAAAAAAGAAATAGTAGGCCACCTGACCCTATACCGGTGGATCCAGACCGGCACGGGCAGGGAGACATTTGGGGTAAATATTCCCCGCAACGTCCAAAATCGACGAAAATTTCCGGCTTTCCGAAAATGAAAAAAATGCCTTTATTAAAAAAGTATTAAACGGTACAGCAGTTCGTAAGGACTCTAACCGTCCGCAGAAAGTGTGAGGGCTTAGGTATCGATTTTCCAAACGCTGGAAACCAACAGGCAACAGCTACCTGCCTGAAAACAGCTCACCATCCTAAAAAGCTACTTGCCTGAAAATGACTCAAGAAACAGGCCACAGGTCAATGAGAATGAGGGTTAGGGAACAGGGTAATTACATTGTCAGGAAATGTGTAGAATTGAAGCGATCACGAGAATACCTACTAAAACATTTGCCACGCTGGGTCACTTTTTATGCGAGTTATTCGCAAAAAACCTAGGGGTGGGGTCTATCATAATTCATACCCCTCAATAAGTGAGAGGGCTTATCGCTGCTAGTCCAAAACACTGAAAAAAAAAACTTAATATCGTGCTATAAAGCTCAGCCGCACTCTTATTTGCTCATATAAAAATTTCCTCTTCAAGAATAAACCCGTCTCCCGAAAAAAACCATAATACTTCTCCGTGTTGAATCGTAAGCGCTTGACTATGAGACTATAGAGGGCGACCGTTCGGACTTCGGGCTGTTTCCTTCTCAATTCTCAAAATGATGCCCCGTTCGGGCTTCAGTCGGCGTTCGATTATAAAATCTGCAATGTCTGACCTCATTCCGCGGCTCATCCTGGGCGGATCTGTAAAAAGAACCTGTAGATAAGAAACCAACGATATAAGAAAACTAAAATTAGCAGCGTGGTGATCGTGGAGATAGTCTGGATTGCTTGTTTGGTAAGCTTATAGTGAAAGTTCCTCGTTTTTCTACGTGATTTGCTTAACTGCGTGGCCCCCCAGTGACGCGATTTCAGCTCCACTGGGGGGGGGGGGGGCAGCGGCATCACTGGGGGGTGGCCGCGGCCCCCCAGTTAACATGTTAGAGGAGGCCCTGCCTCAAAAATTAAAGTTACACCTCTTGGGATCGTATTCCTTGTGCCTTCGAAGGACATTACTTATGTGGTCAATGCTATAGTGGGTTAAACGATGATTGAAAATGGAAAGTACATTTTAACCCATTTCATTCTTCGTTCAGTTCATGGTAATAAGGGTCCAAAATTCTAGTCCACAATTTAAGAGTCAATTACCTGACTAATAGGCAGGTAAGGTTCAACCAAGGCGGTAAATACCAGGAAGCGTCACGAGAAATTGGCGCAGGCCGGCTGACGTCATAGTGTGAACACTTTTCAGGGCTAAAACATGTTTTATGAAATAGTATTAGACATCGAAGTTATATTTTTTTATTAAATGTGTTCCCGAATCTTATGAAAAAATGTATGTATTTATAATTTAAGTAGTTTCCTCAGAAAACGTGCACTATTCAAACGATGAAATCACCAAAACCGAACACGTTACAGGTACCTACGCTAGTGACTACGGCCTGGGTTTATCGGTGTTTTTCGCCTTGGGTTGAACTAATGATATTGGTCATGGTCAAGGCCCTTAAAGTAAGCGTGTCTCAAACAATATTGAGTCTCTCTTCCTGCTCTTTAATTACTTATATTATTTCATTAATTTTATAGGTGTGTCGTACTGCCTATAGGCTAAAGAAGAAAGCCACGGTGCTTTCGGAATTTCCCGTAAATAATTAGTACCTGGTATTACGGATATTCGTCACTGAACATGCATATTTCTTCTTAGGTGCATAATAATAGCCGTTTTCACGACATGCTCTCTGGCGAATGCACCTTATTTGACCAAATATGTGTCAAATCTCTTTTACAACAAATATCTTCATATCATGATTGTACTTCAGTGTTTTACTCGGAAATAATGCCTGATGATTTGAAAGATAAGGTAGGTATACGAATCCGTGCAACTAAAACTGATAACTTTTAAGAAGTGAATTAACCTAGTCTTACCGAATCTGCACCAAATTTGCACCTAACCTACACCCATGTACCAGATGGCGGTCGTGAAAACGGCTAATATGACTAAAAAATGACGCATATGCTCATTGATCGGTGGCCTATGACAACCGGCAGGATTTCGATCCGGAGAACTACGCGGCGCCGCGGCTGGTCTGCGAGGCGCTGTGCCGAGTGTTCCCGGAGAACGGAAGGCTGCAGCGCCACGAGCTCAGAGTGATGGACGTGGCTGCCGGCACTGGCCTGGTCGGCCAGAGGGTAAATATAGAGTTGCTGTACAACGTCATTGACATCGCAAAACACGTGCATATCAACGGGTGTTTGAGCGAACATAGTACGGGTGCACTCGTGTCATAAATAAATAGGTTTTATAGGCTGGTTTCTGTCCCTGAGCTGATTCATGTCTGACGATCATTTCAAACTTCAGAGCATCACTTGTCGTCCGTTTCAAAAATGATCCGAACCATTTCCTAGTTGAAGTTTGAGGAAAACACTCATGTGTATTATTCCTATAGCTTCCTTACTGTAAAGTATGAAACATTTCTATATCAAACAACGATTTTTGTTTGTCGTTTTGGTATGCAATTAAATACTATACTATTTTCAAAATATCAATAATGGTATCCTTTATTTTTCATTTGGTCTTTTCATTTGGTCTCTCATTATTATAAGGTCTCTCTTAGTTGGTCTCGTATTTGGTCACATTATTTAGTCATTTTTGTTTTATTTTTATTCTATTTTAATTGTACGCCATTAATTCTACGGCATTCGGTGAGCAAGGCCATCCAATACAGCCGACACATTATGATTGAATGACTTTTCCTTCCTCAGTGTATCTCGAAAAGAAAAGGAGAAAAATCGATTAGCGCCATTATTTACTGAGAAAGGGAGAACAACGGCACTTCATTAACCCGCGCCCGGCTGGGGGTCCTGGATTTCCACGCCCTGCTGGGGGGGGGTGTTTGAACACCCCCCCTTCTAACTCGGCTCCTGGGCCACGTAGCGATACGCGGAAGGCGGCGTTCGAAAGAGCGTCAAAAATAATGACGAAATCATTTCGGTCAATTTTTTGGTCAGGTCAAAGGTCAGGTCACCAGAGGTCATTGAAGGCAAAATTTCGCCGATTTCCAGGTCGAATATCGAAAATTTCCAAGAACCCAACGCATAACTCGGGAACCAATAGAGCTACAGCGCCGCGGAAAAGCGCATTCGATAGCCCTATTAACGCCCTTTCTGAGTAATTCTCTCAGATTTGACCTAACGTCAACGGTTTTGCCTGCAGGGGGCAAAAACTGCAAAAATAGCCGATTTTTTCGGAAACGGTTTTTCTGCAATAACTTTTGACCCAAGCCTTGTACGAGCTTACTTTTACCGGCATCGTGTTCCTCTCGTCAAGACGCATCGAATGAACTATAACTTGACCTTGAAAGGTCAACTTGAAAATTTGACCTCAGGTCAAGGTCATGACCTGACCGGAAAGGGTCATGTTGCATATCAGTCGATCCGTATCGTCGAGCTGAACACATCTAAGGTGTTTTCATCGCTCTAGCATGCCTCTATCAAAAGTTATTTGCGAAAAACTGTTAGATACCATTCGTAACCTAAGATGACCTCAGGGCATAAACAGGGGTCACGGACACCATTTTCATGTTCAGTGTGTCTAAACCACTTGTAATTCAGTGTTTGGGAGTGTTTATAATGTCTTTCGTCCGAAAGAGACGCATTTCAATTTTCTCCCATTGACTTATAATGGGGAGGTCGCAAAATTGACCTGACCTTAGGTCATCGATATCAAAATTCTGAGATATACATTTTGTACATGCTATTGCTCTTAGCAATCGCTGAAAGTTTCAAAGCGATCGGTCACTCGGTGTAGCTATGACAGACATTGAAACTTTTTATGAGGTGAGGTCACTTCAAGTGACCTGGTGACCTGACCTTGAATGACCTCGGTCTGAAATTTTCACAACATGTGTAGAATTGATGCATGATAAGGTGTACCAAAAACGGCGGCGCTCCGCGCCGCCGTTTTTGAGATATTCGCGAAAAACCACAAGGGGGGGTGTTCAAACACCCCCCCCCAGCAGGGCGCGGGTTAACATTTGACTGTCACGCACTTTAGTCTGACTGTGTCTTCCCTTTCTGCGCTCTTTAGTCTGACTGTCTCCTCACTTTTTATCACAGATACACGAGGAGGGCTTTCGGAACATCGATGCACTGGACCCCTGCCGGGAGATGATAGTTGAGGCCGAAAAACGGGGCGTCTACCAGAACTTCATACATGTGGGTGTTAACTTCGGCATTCACAGAGAAATGCGCGGTTCAGACGGAAGCTGGTTGTAAGCATACGCTTAAAAACGCTCTTATTTTGCGCTGAATTAAAGTTACTGCTCTCCGAATTGAATACGTTTGGTCGCAAGATATGTATTTTTTTGTAAAAGAAAAACTCGCGAGGAAAAAATTGTGAGGAGTACCTACCTATATAATATAGTATTTCCATTTCTATCCGATTACCTATTGCCTGCATGAAAATAGATGTAACTTGAAAAGCAAAATGAAAAACCTGACCTCGTTCTCTGGAAGTTGACTGTAGGAAGTTGACTGTATATGTGTGCGTGCTCTACTTTGTTACTCTCATAAAGTCAACAATTTTTTTGCTGTTTCTCGCAGGACACGATTGGTCTGCATCAGACGGAGGTCGCCGAAAGCACCTATGACGCTGTGGTGATAGCCGGTGGATTCGTGCAGGGCCACTGTCCACCGGAGGCCCTCGATGAAATGATTCGAATCTGCAAACCCGGTTAGTACAGGGTGACACAAAAAAAAACGGTCATCACCAAATTTCGAATAACTTCGGAAGTTTTATTCAGATCATCACCAAACTTCGGCCACTTAAGGTCACACCTATGTAGCATACATCCACCAAGTTTCAAGTCTTCACTACGAATACTTTTAGTACAGTGTGTGTTTTACTGACGCTCCACAATGTGCTCCAGGTGAGCGCCACGGCGCTGGAGGGCGTAGGCACACTTGCATCCGGCGGGCAAAGTTGTCGATAACCCGATGGCTGTGCACTTTACAGAGTGCAATGGCCTCTGGAGACAGTGCTCAGGGTGTGTGCTACCCCTGAAACGTTATTCTTATCGGGTTATCGACAACTTTGCCCGCCGGATGCAGGTGTGCCTACGCCCTGCAGCGCCGGGGGGCTCACCTGGAGCACATTGTGGAGCGTCCGTAAAACACACACTGTACTAAAAGTATTCGTAGTGAAGACTTGAAACTTGGTGGATGTCTGCTACATAGGTGTGACCTAAAGTGGCCGAAGTTTGGTGATGATCTGAATAAAACTTCCGAAGTTATTCGAATTTTGGTGATGACCGTTTTTTTTGTGTCACCCTGTAGGTACACGGCTGAGAACAAAACGTGCACTGTTTGTTATTTCGTGTAACTTGACGAGAGATCGAGTTGCCGTCCTGCGGCTACCCCTTGGCTATATATTGACCCGTGCTTGAAGGAAGACAGCCTTCCTTTGCTTTTCATGACACATAAAACAAGCGCCCCATTTCTTCCTTGTAAGGGTATTACCGTGTATCATAAAAATGTTACTGCGCAAGGAAAACAGCTGTGTGCGCGCTGCCTCCACAGCCTGACGTGTGGCTTCCATGACGGCTTCCATTCACCTCAGGCGGTTACGTCATCAACTCTATGCGGTACGAGTACCTGGTGACTGTACCGGAGTACCACCGCCTGGACCGGCACATGGACGATCTGGAGGACGCCGGGAAGTGGCGCCGTGTCGACCGATACGTCACCGACCACTACTTCTTCAGCAAGCAGGGCATCACCTACATCTACCAGAAGCTCTAAGACACACAAGCCTTGATATTTGAGGCTCAATATACGGAGATCCCTGGAAAGTGTTGGGCTCTAATGTCTTGTTGGTTGAGAAGAACTTTCTTGCCGTAAATGCAATGAGTTACATATGCCACTCCGAATGCGGCTTCGCTAAACTAGCCCGGGGGACGTCAGTCTTGGCGGCGAGGGAGAATAATACAGACGGGCATGGTGGAAAGGTGCGCGCATGTAACAATTGGGATCGAAGTCAAACAAACGAGAGATATTTGTTGACAAAGTGCCACTTAAGAGTACATATGTTGGGACTTGGGGTCGTGTGATAGTCCGAGTAATATATGATTCCCATCACGACTGACGACGGTGTCGTCGAGAACTTGAGGGGATGACGATTGTGAAACTTAAAGCGTAGTGTCAAAAATATACGTACGTATGAAGAAACGCAGACTTTACGCCCAGGATCGCTGATGGAGAATGTGAAACCCGGCTCTGCCTCAATTACGTTACCAGCACCTGGTCCCCCACCCCAGCCCCAAGCGCGCCTGTCCACGCGACCGGTAATTTGAACAATCCATGCATGTTAGCCGGGCCATTGCACAGCTCATGTTACGCTGTATGTTACGCCTCCCCCCCCCCCCCCCCACCTCACCGCGCGGTAGTCACCATCTAGTCTCGGATAACCATCCAATGCTAAGTGTAAGTAACACTGGGGCCATCGCACGGTTGACTGGGCAGCATGGCAATCCGGTGGGAGTATGAAACTGTAGACCATGGCTACTTCCGTGCCGATAGTTGGCGGCGGTATTATGTAACGCCCAGGCCGACATTCACGGCTAGAGACCGTGACGCATGCGGTGGCACTGTGGCAGAAAAGGTGAGTGTCGTGCGCGATCGGAACCGTCGTCTCTAGCAAAAGAGAATAACTAGCTTATGTTTAGTAGAAGTTCCCTGCCGCTGCACACTGACTCGTTCAAGCAATCCGCACTGATTTTTCTTAGCATTTCATACTCTTCGCCCATCTTGTTAAAAATGCATGTGTGGTTGGAAACATGGGCGTCACTTTCTGAAAGTATTTTGTAGGGCTCCAAGCAATGGTTAGTGTTTGGTTACCAAAACCACCCTTACCATGCAGCGCCATGGGACTAATGTTAAAATTTCAAAATTATTCATAGGGATAAGGCATTACCAAGCCATAGGGGAAGTTGGGGCAATGCCGGAGTTGGGGCAAAGCCGAAATGCGAGATATTTCTTAAACCGTACGACATGGATGCCACGTCTCAGTGATGCTCTGAAGCTTAAGTGACTACAATTATCGCATGTTTGTTACGAGTTGTCATTTGGAATACTTCGGCTGTGAGGGCGCCAAAAGCGTTTTCAAGGTACGTTTCCCTTGTACTACATGCGCCTTTGAAGCTGCATTTCTTACTCATTATGCTACCGTTTGTCTGGCCAATTCGGTCAAGTAATCTTCAGCATGTCTTTGCATAAGTGTGCTGCCTATTTGAAATTTATACAGCACGTTTAAAAGTTATGGGGCTGCAAATGAAAGTATGGCTGGCTGGGGTAATGCCGAAAACGTGCAATTACGCACGTTAAAGCACGCTACGTGGACTTTACTGCTGTAGAATAGCAACGCGTATTTTTAGTCAAACAAATTACACTTTCAGCCGGCACAACGGCCTGTTACCTATAAGGAATGATTTACGTAGCATTTTTTTTTATTATATCACACAATTATAACTTCCAGTGTGCACCAAGCGTCCTCAAGCTCTTAAAACGCGTGTCAGCTTTGACGAATTTTGGATAAAGTTTGAGATAAATTGGCAAAACATCAATGTCGGCATTCCTCGTAGATCATTTATCCCATTTTCGGCTTTCCCCGCAGTCCGGGGCAACGCCGAAAAAGTCAGTTCTTTGATATTTTTAGTTTTTGCGCTTAACGGTATGCGAATTCATCGAATGCGCCTGGTATGTTTGAAAGACAAAAGACTGGCCTCTCGAATGACGCCAACAAGAATAGCTTATGTTGTCTACCTTGCGTGCTACGGGCGTCAGAAAAAAAGTATTCGGCGTTCCCCCAACTTCCCCTATACAAAACCACACCCACGTCTTAAAAGCAAACCTATTCTAGTGCGTACAAATTTCTTATTTGTCTTTGTCCCGCCATCCACTGACCACATGTCACGGCTTTTGAAGAAGTGAAAATTCTACCCGTGTTTTTCACATGCTTCGTTGCAGCGGGGCAAGAACTGTTTTTTGACTCAGATCGCCTGCAGCTCATTTAGTGTTTCATGGTATTGACTAAAATCAAAATACTTTTGGCAAACGGATGCCTTTATAAAAGTGCCGAGAGATAGCGGTTAATAACTTCCGGGTTCAAAATCATGCTGGAAATGTGCGGAGACCATGCGATCAATCGTATCTTAAATTTGAGGACCTCACTTTCAATGTCGGTCTTCTAATCGCTCACGGTTTTCGCTATTAAGATATTACTAGTTACTACCATAATACAAGTAGTAGACACATGCTATGACGTTCTTTTATCTCGTGCATGACGATCTATCTTTATCTCATGAGCGATCTGGTTCCGCCTCCATTGGCCATGTGTTTCGACCTCGATCCTTTCTACTGGCCTTCTGAGCTGTCGGCCCGGCGGCCCCGCCCTGCGGAGCGCCCCGTGGCGTGGCGCTGGGTCGTTACAGCCCCCCGCCCTGACCTGTGACCCAGGATCGCGCGCTCCCGCTGACCTCTGCCAGAGCGACAACACGCGCCTGACCCCGGCCGGGGCCGCTCCCAGCGCGGTGGTCAGACGCCGGCTGGGGTCACCGGAATCGTCTCCCATCTGGATCGCGCCTCACGCCTTGAATTCTTCGGGCTTGGATTGAACGCGGACATACGAGGGGGTATCGAAAAGTTCTGATCATCACCACGAATGAGATGTGATAGAAATTTGATTTTTTTTACATGATGTTCATTACTCCTTTACAAGTCACCACACACGACCGCAAGCTTTTTGCATCGTTTCTTGAGCTGCCTCAGGCGGTCATTGTAGGACCTTCGCACTGTCCCATAAATCACTGCTCCATCTCATCAATGACGTCATTTCTGTCCTTAAATCACCGGCCATACTGTGGATTCTTCATCTCTCGTAACAATCAAGAGTCAGTTAATACCCGGTCAGGTGAATTTCTTAGATGCGGTATGATTTAATGTCCACATCATGTTCTTTCTTCCATCGCAGCTCAGGACGAATGGGCGGGAGCGCTGTCGGTGCGGATAAAACATCTTTATTGGGCTTTTTTGCGGCAATTCTGCTTGAGGCCATCTCGCAACTTCTTCAAAAGTGTGCAGTGGTGCTTGTTCATCATTATCCGACCATAATCAAGACAGTCGGTGATGGTTATCCTACGTCAGATCCAGAACACTGATAGCATTGACCTTCCATATCAGCTTCTGCATCTTCGGCTTTTAAGAAGGACAGATGTGCCGTGCTTAAACTTCTTGATCATCTTTTTGTCTCTGGATCATGCACATAGACCCAGCATTCGTCAGTCGTCACAAGTCATCAAATTATGGAAGATGTCTTCAATTTCCTAAAAAAAATGCCTAGTTTTGATTTCAAAGGGCCAAGACGCATTTTTCTCTTCAACAAAGTAGACACACGAACTTCTAAGCGGGCTGACTCCTTTATCGTCTGTAGTTCTTCGCTGATAATATTTTCAGGCACTGCCAGCATTGAGATCTTTCTGTTGCACAATCATCTGAAAGGTCACACGACGATCTGTAAGGATGAGGTCCTCCACTTCCTTCACAGTCACCACCTTGTCAGTCACTGGCAGCCACTCACTTCTTGACTCCTCTGCAAGGGCCATGCAACCAAGTTGAAAATTATTTATTCATTTTCGGTAAGTGCATAAGATGGGCTTTCCTCGCCATAAACTGATTTCACGTTCTTGATGTATTTTCTCAGTGTGATACCGTTTCAAATGCATTAGTTGGATGACGGTTCGGTCCTCAATGGGCCCAATACTCATCTTTTTTACTTCTAAGTCTCTCCTACATAAGATAAAACCACTTCTCAGGATTCTCTTTGCGGGAACATTGTTCTTAAGAACCAAATATAATACCAACCAAAAATCATCAAAATCGGTCTACATCTTCTATGTGATGATCAGAACTTTCCGATACCCCCTCGTATCCGGAGAGACCACCCTCATTACATTTGTGTTTCAATAGACGCCAAAAATACGATAATTGAAACGATTATACCCACCTCACAGCGCATTGTTAGCTCGCACTGGAACATGCCGCGATAATCTTGGTACCTAGTTCCTTTGCGAAGAGTTCAAAGAGCATTAAAAAAGCATTAGGTCCACGGTTCCATCAATAGATAAAAAGACCAATAGTTCTATGAGATCGAATATGCTCAAAAGTCAAAATTGTTAAGTGTTCATGCGTTATCGAGTTCCTAGTTCCTACACCATATTTCTATAGGTTTCCCCTATTCATGTTGAAACTTTTTTACAGCGCAGACTGATGTTATGCCATGGACCTCCGTACACCTGACCTCTGACATCTCTCATCTCTGTAAAGGTGTACAGAGGTCTATAGTTATATAATATACAATACATATGTATAGGGTGAACTATTTCATTACAGAATGTCTGCAAACGAGAGGTCACACAGCGGAGCACATAGAGAACCTCGCATTTCGCAGCTAAAATAAAGTCGAGATTGAGCTGTATCAACGTTAGGGGAACTCCAGCGTGACGGAGCTGCCATATGGTGGCACCGAAGGCCGGCGGAGCTGCCATATGGTGCACCGAAGGCCGGTCGGCCGGCCCTCCCATGAGTCGGGCCAGGTGGGGCGACAGACCGGCAGAGCCGGGACAAGGTCAGCGGCGGTCAGGGGCCGTCTGGGCCCCTCCCCCTCCCCCGCCAATGGCTGGGGTGCACGCCGACACACCCACCACTGAGGCGTGCACCTCACCTGTCCACAGGCCCCGCCGGCTTCCGGCTGAGGGGTGGGAGGCGATAGCTGCGACTGTTCATTCGTCTGAAGTGGCCTTGTGGCTCACGCCATTAAGTTTAAAATGTGTCTACGCTTAGTTGGCTCAGGCGTCATTAAAGCCGAGGAGAGTTTGATATATTATTTTGAAATTACATATCTGGAGCGTGCTAATGTGACAATAGATTAAAGACCAATCCCAAATACTAACACGTGTATCTTAACCCTCGCCCGCACATGGGGGGGGGGGGGTTGCCACCCCCCCCCCCCCCCTCAGGCAGTCTTTCTGATCTGCACTCAACATTTTTAGAGCTAGAAGGCTGATTTTTCGTATAGCTGCTCGTCTATCCTTTCTCGATGTCCACTGAAAATTTCAAGTTTCTGTGATTTTTGGTTTCGGAGATATGACCTTGTTTTTCAGGTCATGTCATAA